CGAGTGGTTCCACACAGTTAGTACTTAGACATTGTATACGAGAAGGAGGGCAAGATGTCCCAAGCAATAAGGATGTAACATCTCTAGATTGGAATGTGAGTATCTACATTGTTTATGCTGGATGTTTCAGGCAAGTGATAGGGTTTATGTATTTGTTAAAATATTTTTGGGTTTCGTAGCTTATAAAAATAGCATGCTCTGCATCCCACCTCTAAATCTAGGCTAGTCTTAAAGAGTTGTCCTTGATAACATTGTTAATCACCTTGCACATAATTTTCCTCATAGATAATTAAGTAAGACGATGATTTTTGAAGAAATGTGGGTCTTCTTACAAATAGTTAGTGTACTAACAGGTGCGTATTAAGTCCATAGCTAAGTCCTTTGATAGGAATTAGAAAAAGTCCAAGAAAATTTTATAAAGTTATTTTCTCATTTGTGAAATAATGAAAATGCTGTTTGGTTGCCTGTTCATTAGCAATCATTAGTCTTGATTAGTTCCAAGATTTATTAGAGCTGTAGGGATCTTCAGAATTCTTTCCTTTTGTGTATGGATTTAGGTAGATAGAATATTTTTCTGGGATAACTTGGCTACTTTGACAAAAAAGTTTTGCTTGATTGCTGTTAGGGCTTTATCCTTTCAGTTTCAAGTAGCTAATCTCCACCTTCCCTTGTTTCCATTATTCCTGTAGTTAACATTTGTGTTTCCATAGTAGTTCTTTATCTTTCTCTTTAATGGTTGTACAGTTGGTAGTACTTTTATCATTTGCTATGTTCCTTGTTGCCTTTTTTTGGATCTATCTTTACTTGTCCCCTTTCACTGTTAGTAGGGAATTCTGGAGGAAACAGTCCTTGTAGCCAACTTTGTTTCTAGGATGTTTGCTCCAACTTTTTGTGAAGCTTTCCGAAGCTCTTCCAGATCTTATTCCAAGGAATGTGGTCAGTCTTGGAAGATCATTATTCCATTTGAACTTCTTTATTTTATGGAATTATCACAGAACTCAGGGTTTTAAAGTCATTTTCATCTAAGTTTTAAAGGCAGTTTCATCTAAAATTTTTAATTATGTATTTCATTTTTAAAACTGTTGATACAGTGAGGAAGAAAACATTAAATAATTAAAACTAGGATTTTTTTAATAAGATTTGGGTCATGCATTTCCTTTAAATAGTATGGGTGTTAGCAAGAAGGCTTTATGTTACTGAATGGATTCAAGCAGCTGGTGGATTCGAACCTTGTGCCTTTAAGTTAGAAGTGCAATAACAGAAAATTTAACCAACTAGTTTTATTTAAGTCATTATAATACTGATTTTAATATCCTCACCCCACCATCTTTCCGTTATCCTTGACTGTGAATCTGAGAGACTGTAGCAGAACTTTAGTGTTCATGAGCCTTATGCTATTGCTCTTGCTTCAGAATTGTTAATGCCAGTGTTGTCTCTGACACTAACCAGAAGGGCATTTGTAGGCAGGCGCTGATAGCCAAGACTAGAAGTTCTGAGCCAGAGATTGTCAGGGGTCTGCTAATTTAGGATTCAAACATGAAATAGTTTAAGAACAATTAAATATACTTCTGGATTGTATAATTGAGAGAAATGTGTTTTTCTGATAGAGTGAAGGTACACTTCTAGCAACTGGTTCATATGATGGATTTGCCAGAATATGGACTAAAGATGGTAAGTGAACCATTTTCCTTTTAACTTGCTGATGTGACTTTTTTCTTTTTGCTCCAAAATTTTAAATAAAGTTAATGTTTTTCTTTTTAAATTTTAGGTAACCTTGCTAGTACTTTGGGACAGCATAAAGGCCCTATATTTGCATTAAAATGGAATAAGAAAGGAAATTTCATCCTAAGTGCTGGAGTAGACAAGGTAATATAATTGTCAATAATTCTTGCTCTGTTAGTCATAAAAATCAAACATTCACATCTGGAAAGTTGAAATGTGAATCAATTATAATGACAAAATGCTTGCCTAAATTTTTCTGTTTGCTCATTCCTTAGTCTGTTCATTACAATGCCTTTCCCCCTCATCTCTGTGACTCTACCTCCACTTCCTCTTTAGTTTTTTACTATATATATATATGTATATATAATTTGAGCCATAATGACGTATATTCTTCTGTCATCAAACTGAAGTTTATAGTTTACTGCACAGGTAAATATTGTAGGGGAATAATTCCATGGGATATCCTAGAGTCACTTTATTCACTGACTCTTACTTATTTTCACTGAACAAAGATGGTGAGATACAACTAAAACAGGACCCATTTCCTCCATTTTTTACCACTTTAGCAACCAAAATATAACTGAGAAATGACATGCTAACAGGGAGAGTTAGCACAGTGAGGTGTTAGAAAAGGGAAGGATGAGAAATTAGTTCAGTCTTTGTGTGCATTTGAGTGGTTCAAGTATGATAAACTTTAAGGAGACTGGGAAGGGAAGACCAAAGGCCTAGCCATAATTGTATCCTTAGTCACTGCAGGGTCTATATAGTGCTATTGTAGGTCAGAAAAATTAGTAAAAGAATAAATGCTTGAGGGAATTGAGAATATTTCAATTTCTGTATTATAGTTTGATATAACAGAAAAGATGTAACATTGTCAAAGTTAAATTCCTTTTGATCTTTTATTTCATAAACATTCCATGATTGAGAACTAGCTTTATTATCAAGATTGTGTCATCTTACATAAAAAGCTGTGAAACTGTTTTATTAGAGTTTCTAAAGCAAGACTGATAGCTTAATCCCTTTTGGGACTGTAGAGTTTATAGAGTTCAATATAAGAAAATGCCCCATACTTTTTAGACAACCAGTAATGTGTTATTTGAAGTGATTTGTTTGATAAAAATCACCAGGGAAAAATTAAAATTGGTAAGATTCTTTTTTAACCTCATAGTGAATTCTTTTGTCTTTTTTTCCCTAATCTCAGACTACAATTATTTGGGACGCACATACTGGTGAAGCCAAACAACAGTTTCCTTTCCATTCAGGTAAATTACATGGAGCTTTCTTCTGTTCACTAAGGGTGCCAGCTACAAACCTAAAGTTTGACTATTTGAAACCCAACCAACTGTACCATTCTCGAGGAAGAAAAGACCTTGTGATTTGCTTGAAGCCCAGAAAACCCTCTGGAACAATTCTGTTCAATATTGAATTGAGTCTGAATTGATTCAGCAGCAGAGGGTTGTGTGTTTTGTTTTGTTTTGTTTTTTTTAAATCTTTATTCTCTGTTTCTAATTAAACCTTAAACAGCATATATTTTAAAAATCTTGAAACACTGAGTATCAGTCTGGTTCCTGGTTTGTTCTGTAATTGTTGGAGAATCCTCACACATTGATTATAACATATACCATAAAGAAAGCATTTGCAAACAGATGCAGTTAATGAGATTATACAATGTAAACCAACTATAGGTTTTTGAATCATAAGATCTGGGTTTGAATGTGAGTCACTTAACCTTTTGGAAGCTCATTTTCACTTACCTGTATATAATTGTTTTTAACGAGGATAATTATGTATATGGCATATGCTAGAAAGCCTTACAAACTTGAATGGTATTGTTTCAGTTTGGATTGCTGTATCTAAATCATTCCTCATGTGTATATAAGGTTTCCCTAGTTTATTGGAGCATAAATTCTCTCTTTTTAAGAAATACTTTAATATTATTTTTTTCATTATAAAATATTTGCTTTATCATCGTCATAATCCCTTAAGAATATTACTATTGCAGAAATATTCTCATATCTTGTTTCCATCAGAATGTTCAGTCTCCTAAAATTGTTGCATAATATCATAAACCTGATGAGCCCTGCTTTATCGTTGATATATATTTCCATGGGAAGTCTTGCTAATTTCTTTGCCATTGAATTCTTAAGCAGTTACACTAGAGTTACTAGGGAGCACTGGTGGCCAAGTGGTAAAATACTGTGTTGTATCTCAAAGGCATTTGTTTTGAATCCAGTAACTGCTCCATGGGTTAACTGCCTCTGAAAACTCACTGGTGGGTCAATTATGGGTCAGTTATGATTTGAGGGCACACAACAATGACTGCTTTTTCCAGAATATTCACCCAAACTGAAACAGTCGTTTTAGGGCTATGTATGTAATGTAGCCTGCTGCTTTAAAGGTTTTGTTACAATTGGGAGGAGTTTTGCTTTGGAGACTGACTTAAAAGAAATCAATCTTTGGTAACATCCTTTTCATGTATCCAATGACACAGCTTCTGACATTGCGCTTTTTGGGGGGTGGAGGGGGGTGGCTTTCTCTATTTAGTGTGACTCAACAAGCCAAATAAGGTGCAGAACTATTTTTCTGTAGTATCTGGGCAACTGGGGACTATAAAACAATTTAGCATCATTACATACAGGTTTTTGTTTTTGTTTTTTTTTTCTGGAAGCATAAAAGATTATACTGAATAAATTTTACAGTAATTTTTAAGGCCTTCTAAGGGACGTCACGCTTGGGAGGGTGGAGGGACGGCGCAGGAGGGGAAGACCCTCTATGAGATGGATTGATTCGGTGACTGGCGTAATCGGGATGGGTGTGTTGGAGGCCGTGCGATTGGCACAGGATAGAGCAGGGTTTAGCGCTGTTGTGCATAGGGTGGCTATGAGTCGCAAACGACTCAACGGCACATAACAACAACAACAACAAATAAGTCTCCTACCTCATAGGAATGCTATTAACTTGAAGTGAGTGTGGGGCAAAATTAACTGTCATCTACTGTGTACTGTCAGAAAATCAAAAGAGCCGAACTTGTTTAGCATTTCTTAAGCTGAAAAAAATAATGAACTCAAGCCATGAATTGCAATCCTTACAGATACTATGGGCAAAATAAGGAATGACTTAAGAATCATTAGAAGCAGACAGAGTATGCAGAGTCATTGTACCAAAAAAAAATTGGCTAACAAAGAATTATTTCAAGAAACAAGACAAGGAAGAGACAGTGCTGATGAAGGACAAAGTATAGGCTGCTCTGAAGGATTTGGCAAACAAAAAAGGCCCCAGGAATTGATGGAATACCAGTCGATGTAGTTCAACAAACAGATGCTGACCTCCATGTGCTCACCAAGTTGTGCAAAGAAATCTGGAGGACAGCTACTTGGGCAACTGATTGGAAGAGATCCATATTTATTCCCATTACAAAAAAAAAGTGACTCTACAGAGTGTGGAAATTATTGAGCAACACCACTAGCAAAATCCTCTTTAAGATTATCGGGGGGTGGGGGGGGGAGTATCCAGAAAAGACTTGAATAGTACGTTTGATAGAGAACTACCAGAAATACAGGTTGGGTTTAGAAGAGATCTGGCCCTAAGGACATTATTGCCAATGTCAGATGGATCTTGGCAGAAAGTACCAGAAGAATGTCTTATCTGTGTTTCATTGACTATGTGAAGGCATATGAATTTGTGGATCACAATAAATTGTGGGTAACCTTGAGGAAAATGGGAATCTCAGAACACTTGATTGTGCTTGTATGAAACCTATACTTGGACCAAGACGCAGTCCTCAGAACAGAGCAAGGAAACATTGCATGACTCAAAATCAGGAAAGGAATGCGTCAGGGGTGCATCCTCCCCATACCTTTTCAATCTGTGTGCAGAACAGATCTTTTAGGAAGCAGGTCTTTATGAGAAGGAGTGGGACATTAAGATTGGAGGAAGACTCATTAACAACCTACAGTACTCAGATTATACAGTCTTGCTTGCTGAAACTGAAAACCTGAAAAACATGTTGCAAAAGGTCAAGGACTATATAGTCTTCAATATGGATTGAAGCTCAACATCAAGAAGACAAAGATTCTCACCACTGGACCAATTGGCAGCACCATGACAGATGGAGAAGAAATAGAGGGTGTTAGCAGTTACAGCTTGCATGGTCCACAGTCAACACTCCTAACACCAGCAATCAAGAAGTAAAAAGACAAATTGCATTGGGAAAATTGGTCATGGACCTCTTCAGGATGCTGAGAGCAAGAGTGTCAATCTGGATACAAAGGTGCACCTAATCCATCCCATGGTCTTCTCAGTTACTTGTTAAGCTTTGGAGAGTTGGACAGTGACTAAGGATAACAGAAGAAGAATAGATGCCTTCAAGTTGTGGTGCTGGAAGAGTCTTGAGCATACCACGGGTTGCCAAGAAAACAAATAGGTCTGTCTCTCCTTGGAGGCTAGGAGTTTGAAGCTCCGCCTTGAAACTTATGCACTAGCTTATGCAAACTAGCTTATGCACTTGACCAAGAGAGATTGGCCCTTAGAGAAGGCCATCATGCCTGGAAGGGTGGACAGGGACACCACAGGAGAGGAAGACACCAGTGAGATGGATTGATAAAGTAACTGGGGCAATGGGAGTTGGAGTGTCATAATTAGTGAGACTGTCTCAGGTCAGGGAAGGGTTCAGAGCTTCTGTACATAAGTCACTGTACATTGCAGGCAACTCAATAACACATAACAGCAATAACATACTATGACAGGTTTGAAAGCAGGAGTGGCATCCACTTTCTAAATAACATGCCTCCGGAAACTCAGTGAACGTTGATAAATGCTGATAGTTGTAGAGGGGCTTCAGGCCTTTGTTCATTAGGTTGCTATGAGATGTGCTTGACTCAGGCAGTCAACAACAACACGTGTGTACTAGCTTTGTGTTACAAATAGTATTTTTTTGTGTACATGAGTCCATTTAATCCAAAGTAAGGTCCTGAGTGGCTCAATTTTGGCTGAGCTACCAATGTCATAAAAACTGGTCATTTGAAGCTTTGATTTTTTTTTTTTGTTTGTTTGTTTTGTTTAATAGATACAAATAATTTCACCTGAAGTTGTCCCCCAACTCATTGCTACTCATTATCATATTCTCCCAACTCCTTTCCTCCCCTTTCAGTTATATTTGAATTAGGTCTTCTAGTCCACAAATTGTGCTTTTTTTGCAGTGTAATAACCATATACATACAATATACACACATAGTGCACACACCACATACATACAGTAATATAAACCTGTATGGTATATATAGTGTAATGTTCTCCTCCTCTAATTCTAATGTCTGTTGTTATTCTAGGGCAGCTTTTGGCAATTTGAATTTTGGGTTATATTTTTCTTTGCCCAGTAACTTTTGATTGGACGGAAGGCATTGTGAATTCTACCTTGTTAATTGCTAGATATTTCTGTACTCTTAGAAGTTTTGTGGACTTTGTTTTGAAATTCAGTTAAGTTACTTTGGAAAGAATTTGATCCTTATGTGTCTTGATTTTGAGTCCGGTGTCATTGAAATAGCCCCTAGTGAAGGTCTGATTGTTTCCCATAGCTGAAGAAGAGTTTTACCGAAGTTTCCAGTGATCATGAGGTTTTCTAGTCTGATTGATAAAAACATCATTCCTAGTCTTGAATATCTGGCATTGTTCCTTCTAATCATTTTGAGTGATTTTCTTCCTTGTTTCCACTAGGTTTTTTACACACACAAGTGCTGATTGGTGCTCAGTTAAATGCAGAAATAGGGACCTACTTTGTCTTTGAGAAATATCTGTGTAGCTGGCTTCTCTCTGGTGCACTGTCCTGTGAACAATTTCTTGGTCTCCTCAGAATTCCAGTTTTTCCTCCTGAACACAGGACTTCTTTTTCCATTGACAGACTTCCTTTGCCATGATCTAGAAACCTTTCCAAATTGTAAACTTATAAACAGCATAAGGAAAATTTTATAGTTCCCATATTACTGCAATAGTTGTATGTTCTCCTTTTGTAATGCCCAGTGTCTTAAATTGCTATTTATTTTAGTAGTTTTGGAGAAGGAGGTAAATTTGGTCTCTGTTACTCCATCTGAGTTAGAAGTTGAAGTCTTTCAATGCATTTTTACTTATTTTCTATTTCTGTACTATGTATTCAACTGTGTACACATTAGCATAAAGCATAAGAAGTAGATGAGTAATGAATAAACCCTTTTCTCTCCTCATAGGTTTCTTCTTTCTAAATTAGAGTTTTTATGGGTTAATGAGAAAT